CAATTTCAGTAAGTAAGTAAGGTCATTAAGGTGTGTCAAATTGATAGTATAGTGACGAAGTGATAGCCGGAGACTGAATTTGGAGACTGAATTTGTTGAAACGGCTGTAGCTAAATAAAAATTGTCCATCGTCCAATAAAACCTGGACGGTGGACGTCCATCGTCCAGCGTCCAATAAAACCTGGACGATGGATGTCCATCGTCCAGCGTCCATCGTCCAGTCCATCGTCCAGTCCATCGTCCAGGTTTTAGCACATGCCCAGAAAAAGGAAGGAAACTCCGGGATAATATAAAAAATATATAAGGAATATATAATGAAACAGGTAAGGAATAAGGTGAGAATTAATGTTAGGCAAGGACAGATATATGTAACTAAACATAAGAAAAAACTTTCAAGTGAGGGTGGACAGTGCCAACCTGGAGGGAAAAACCCAAAAATCAAACCCCAAACAAAAGAAATCATGCGCCTCATTTCCAAGCTTGGCACTGTCCACCCCAATGGTATAAATGATTAAATTTCATGAAGCCAGTTTTACTGGTAAACTATGTGAAGCATTCCTCTTTTGACTTCCTGAGTCATTTGGAATTTTCCTCATTGGCTTTGCAAATTTGAAAAACTCTTTGCAAATCCCTCGAGGGAATTTGCAATGTTCCTATCGGCTGTTGCGATATTCCAATGCAAGAAAACTTGATTTTAAATTTCCCTAACTTCCTGTCTTAATTTCCCGACTTCCTGTTCTGTTCTGAGCGTTGTCATTGGTGGATTATTTTTGTTAGCCAATTACAATGCGCAGAACAGAAAAGGAAGTTAGGAACTTGTAAAAGGAAGTTTAGAAGCAACAGGAACTGAGGAAAATTTATTACTTTATAGTGTACATAACGTCAATTATTTCAACTCAACGTTTTCAAGCAGCGTGCGATCATCCGGATTCTTTGTGATAGCTAACACTTGACCGTTTTTTGACTCATCATTTATGAGTTTCATCACTTCATTGCTAATGTCTGACGTTCTATAAAATAAAAAAAGGAGTGATGTAGGCTAGAGATGTGGTTAGTGTCGTTTTGACCAAGTACCGCCATCAGTATCCGGTTATTATATCCGGTAGACTAGTATCCTGCACCGTCTGCTATCTGGCAAAGCTGTATCCAGCACATCTTAGTATAGGCATTGTGAGAAGACACAATGTCTGCATTCCAGGCAGAACAATCATCGTCAGACAAACTCATTACAAGCTACAAACACAACTGAACTTACTTTAAGTACATCTCGCGCGCCTCTTCGTCATTTTTCGGGATCAAATCGGCAATTTCCGGAGTAGGTTTGAATCTCCCTTCCCATGTATCATTAAGGAAGGACGTCATCATGTTAGTGTAAACATATCCAGGACATATGCAGTTCACTCTCACACCATGATCACGTGGTGATGTCTGAAAAAGTAGTCGTTGACACAGTAGTTAATATTTTCATGAGACTTCTACCAGGGGTAAATTGCAAAAGCAAAAAAATATGTACCAAATAAAATGGATCCTGAGTCACTCGTAAACCATTTTACACATAAAAAAATGCACTGACGACTGGTTACCACGACACCTCCCAATATAATATGAGCAATAATTTCATGTATATATGGCGGTGCTCACATATATATATATATATATATATATATATATATATATATATATATATATATATATATATATATATATATATATATATATATATATATATATATATATATATATATATATATATATATATATATATATGAAACTCCATTCCAAACAAAACTAGGCTTTCATGTTCTCATCAGCATTCATTCAAATTTCTTTACAAATATTCATAGTTGAATATTCATATATCTACCCTGAATATTCTGAATATTCATATATCTACCCTCAATAAATATTTATCACTTATTTACTGAGATCGAGGGAAACAGTGTGTTTTGTGGATCCGAGACCGTCGATGGTCGACGGAGCCGAGGGAAACATCGACGGTCGACGGTCGACAAAACACACTGCTTTCCCGAGGTCTCAGTAAATAAGTGTTTTATTATATATCAATAGTCAAAGAAACAACAAATTAAAGAACAAATGAACGTAAATACATGAAATATTTTATTGTTAAAACGTTATATTAAACACTGGCTACACTGCAGTTACTTAAAGCGAAAGTTTTAATTACGTACTAGGCATGTCCAAAGGTCGCATCTTCACGTGATGGCGCACGTGATATTTTTTGTTATTCGCCGGTCGATAACGTATTATCTCCCTCTCGCGCTGTTGCGAGGAAGACAGCCTAATTTCGTCACTTTCACGTGATATGCTCTCAACCAATAAAACACTAGAAAAATGCGACTTTGACTATTGATATATAATAATCATATTTATTTGGATATTTACTTTGTTTCGTAAAGATTTATAATTTGATCTTATAAATCTCAAGGGATTGCTTGCGACAGCTTGCATGTTAGACTAATTTTTGATCTAGGCAAAAAAAGTAAATTCCCGTAAAGAACTTATTAAAATTAGTAAAATTTCAAAGTTTGGTTACGAAATGTTGTAAAATACGGAAAATATAGCCTTACGAAGTTTGCATATTTTGTATATGTTTGTATTACGTGCGGAAATTGTTACCATTTTGAGCCGAAAATGGTAATAATTTCCGCACGTAACACAAACATGTACAAAATTTGCGAACTTTGCAAGACTATATTTTTCCGAAGCTTTACAACATTTCGCAACTAAATTTTACAATTTTACTAATTTTATTATGTTCTTTTTAGCTGTCGTGTTTGATTCCCTTCTCTTCAAAGTACTTATAGCTAGACTGACTGAGTAAGACGTAGATTAAAATTTAGTTTAACATGCATGTTGTTCGTAGTCAAGAGCTGAATATTTTGTGTATAGAACAGCACGAGGTAAAAATCTCTGACCGAATTAGATGAATTTCAGTATTTTCCTCTGTATCTGGCCGAATTGTGGAGCAATCACGATTCACGAACATGACAACCAGTGGCGTAGCCAGACCTTCATTTTTGGGGGCGAAGCGAACGCCGAAGGCGCGAGACCATCTAGGGAGGTCCGGGGGCATGCACCCCCGTGAAAATTTTGAAATTTAGAGTCCCTGAAATGTGATTTCAAGCATTTTGAGGGTGAAATCTTGCAGAATTCCGAAGATTATAAAGTACGCTCTAGGGGGGTTCGGGGGCATGCACCCAAGGAAAAATTTTAAAATTTAGAGTCCCTGAAATGTGACTTCAAGCATTTTGGGGGGGGGAAATCTTGCAGAATCCCGAAGATTATAAAGTACGTCGAAGACATAAATTTTCCCCGACATTTCTAAGTTTCTACTCGCTTTTATATATGATACAGAATAAGTCTGAGAAGAATATTCATGTTATCATAATGCATATACATGTAAATCTGAACTAAATCTATTCCTCTTGGAACCATATCTACAACTGTTTTAACGAGATTTTAGAAATCAAGTTCTTCCAGTATTTCGTCGTTTTCCTCAGTCGAGACGTACTTAATCCGTTTCAGCTTCGAGGATGTAACGTGTACCCCCCTCCCCATTTCTCTACGGATTTAGCCTTTTTCAGAGAATAGTTTTTTTGCGATTGAGGGGGCGACCGCCCCCCCTTGCCCCCCCCCCTTGGCTACGCCCCTGATGACAACAGCCCGAATGACAAACCTGCGCAATACATCGTGTAAAATGAACGACACCAGCCTTTGTAGAACTGTAAATAGCAATTCGTGGAAGCATTAATGTTACACCTAAAAGATAAAATGATCAATTAAAGTTTAAATTTACTTCCAAATATTTTTGGTACGCATGGAGTTTGGGTAATTGTCGAGTGTAAAGGGTCATACGTCGAAGTCGAGGGTCAAAAGTCGAGGTCAAGGATCGAAAGTCGAGGTCGAGGGTCGAAAATACTAAATTTTTATCCATTTTAAAACAGTTTAACAACCATTTTCAAAGCTTCCATTAAACACGGCAAAACAATAGACCTTACCGATTATTCTTTTTTACCCAATTGCCTCGTTTCCATGTTAACCTATTTTAGCATGTCAAGGGCAGATAAAGATTATATTCCCATGTTTCCCTGGACGAATTTGTTCAGTCTTGCTGTTCTTAGACTCAATAATTTCAAAGTAATTTTCAACCCAAAAGAGAATAATCGGTAAGGTCTATTTACTATTAGTTTAATTTGCTGTCAAAACTGAAAGTTTCACTTGTGGAACTAGAAGTCTGATGCGAGGTTAGGGTTTGATGTTTAGGAGTATACATCTTTTATTTTTTTTCATTGGATTATACTACAAACGTGGGCGATTATACAAAATGGCGTCTCGCTCTCATGAGAAATTTGATTTTTTTAAAGTAATATGTTATCTCTTGGCAGCGAGATGATGTTTGCTGTACTGCGCTGAGACTCGATTCGTTCTGATAGTACAATAAACAATAAAATAAATTTTCGAAACAGCGCCGTTCTCGAATATTTTTAGTAATTTTACTCTCTCGAAAAACAAAAAGGAATCTAAGGCATTGTTCTGCAGGAAAACCTTTAAAATTTTGACAATAAATGCGAAAAATGCAGTATTCTAGAAATGTATTTTAAAATAATTTTTTCCCCATTTTCAACCCTTGACTTTCAACCTTTAACCTCGACTTTCGACCCTCGACCTCAACTTTCGACCCTCGACCTATGATCCTCGCCCTCGACAATTACCCAAACTCTCACGCATGAGCTCATTTCTAGGCAATATGTTTCACAGGATCTCACCTCCGCCACGCCCCCCAAATACCTGTAATCTTGGACATAACTGGTTGAGACTATTTTCCCCCTATAGAAAATTCGCGTATTTTTATGATAAACTCCATGTTGAATCATGTTGCCATTCTTAAACCCCCGCTCCCCCAACTCGATGTTGAGCTTGTATCATGGTATATTACCAAAAGTTGTTTCGGCGTTGTTCACAACATTGAACTGGGGGGGGGGG